GACCAGTCTCCATGACTTGCCCTCCATGATGGAGATGGAGTGTATCCCTTTGAACTGTAAGCTGAACTAAAACCTTCTCTCTTAATTTACTGATTGACATAGGAACGAAAAGGTAACTTCTGCAATAGCTCTCCTTCACCATGTGCTCTCTGCAGGACTCATCACCAGAATACTGTGCCTCAACATGGGTCCAGGAATGATGGAGCCAAGAAACCATGAACCCAAACATCTGAAACTGTGAGCTGAAATGAAACCTTTCATCCTTTACATTGTTCTCAGACTTTTGTTACCATGACAGGAAAAAAAATAAACAGAAGTTATTTGCACAGCCTTTTCTTACTCATGTTTTCAATCTCTTTTGTTTATTTAAATGCCTCATTAAGGGCTAGAGAGATGGCTCAGTGGGTAAGAAGACTTTCTGCACAAGTATGAGGAACTGAGTTTAGATCCCAGCATCTGTGTAAAAATTTGGGCATGGCCACGTGCACATCATGGGGTGCAGGGGGGATCACTGGGGTTTGCTAGCTGCCACTGTAGTTCTAGAGGTGCTGTCTCAAGGGAATAGGGGAAGAGTTAAAAACAGGACACTAGGTGTCGTCTTCTGCCCTCATGCATGTGCATGTGTGGACACCCACACACACAGGTGCATATATACCACACATATACATCACACTCATACAATACACACAATAAATAAATAGGCAAATAAATCATTGTGCAACATATTTTATAGCCCGTGTCTGATCCATTCAATAGCTGGAGGTTTTCTGATCGAACTTGCTGTTCATCTTTTTCAGCACTGCAGTTTGGGACTTTCTTTTTCTCTTATTTCTTTTTGTGATGTTTTAAAAAGTGTTATTTCATATTCCATGGAACTCTAGCTGTGGGCATTTTTGTGGTTGGGGTTAAATGGGCTATTTTTCAGAGGTAATTCATACTTTATGTTGAGAAAACAGGCCTTTGGGATCCTAGCTCTGCAGGAGGTAAAGTAAGCCTATTGTGTGCAGTTGAGAGGGAGGAAGGCAAAGGCACTGGTTTCTTCAGATACAACACCCTTGTCTGAATTTTTGGTCTCTATTTGTTTTCTTTCTTTTTAAAACATATTTTATTTATTATTTTTATTTTATGTGTATGAGTGTATTGCCTGCATGTATGTGAGTGCACCTGTGTCCTGCAATGCCGCGGGGGTCAGAAAAGGGCATCAGATTCCCCTGGAACTGGAGTTAAGGATGGTTCATAGCTGCCACGTGGGTGCTGGGAATTGAACCCAGATCCTCTGCAAGAGCAGTCAGTGCTCTTAACCTTGAGCCATCTCTCCAGCCCCTATTTGTTTTCTTTTGTTGTTTTGGGAACCTATCACATGAGATCACTATACTGACAGAAACGTATTCACTTACAGCTCTGGGGGTTAGAAGCAGGAATCAAGGTAAGGTGTTGAAGGGCCATGTTCCCTTCAGAGCTTCTATGTAGGGGTCCTTGATGGCCTTTTCCAGCCCTAGGTCATCTTTGACTTGTGGCATCACGACTCCAACTTCTGCCTCTAGCTTCATGTGGCTTTTTCCATGTCCGTCTGTCCTAATTTCCTCTTCTGTTTAACGTTTTGGTTGTTAGCCTTTAACAGCTGTGTTATCCCTCCAGCCCTCCTTTTAAAAAACATTTTATTTATTATTCTTATTTTATGTGTATGAGTGTATTGCCTGAATGTAGGTGCACCCATGTCATGCAGTGCTTGCAGAGCTCAGAAGAAGGCACTGGATTCTCTGGAACTGGAATTATGGAAGGTTGTTAGCCACCATGTGGGTACTGGAAATTGAACCTGGGTCCTCTGCAAGAATAGTCAGTGCTCTTAACCACTGAGCCATTTCTTCAGCATTGATTTCCACTTCTTATAAGAACACCAGCCATATTAGATTAGTACCCAACCTGATCCAGTGTGACTTCATTGTATCCTGATTACACCTGCAAAGACTTTATTTCCAAATAAGATCACATCCGCAGGTACAGAAGTCTGGATTTCACAGATTTTGGGAGAGATTCAATCCAGTCCATTGCAGTTTCTAACCACTTCTTACTTCCTTGCCAGCTCCTGAACACAATTTTATGTTTGGAAACTTCTAGAGTCATGAAGTGTTCTGTTCGATGTCACCTCTTATTTCCCTGTTTCATGCTGCCATAACAGACCCTGCCCTTTCTCCAGTGCCTTGTGGACTCAGTAACTAGGGAAAAAAAGCTTATTAGAATTGAGTGCAAAATAGCATCAAGGCTTTAAATGGAGACTCAATAGGCAAGACTGTGTCTAAAGGAGAAAGAAAGTACTGCATGAACGTTGTAATATTTTTTGGTCGGGGAATTCTCATAGGATTTTGATCCCAGAGTTGATTGCTGTAATGTATCTGTTGAGCCATAAAGATCTGGAGTTGAATGTTTTCTCTGTATTTTATAAATCACATGACATTGGGAACACATGTAAGCTTTTAATTTCAGTTTCCTCAACTGATAAAGGGGTGGGGGGATCATCATAATATCTATTTTAGGGTGTCCTATGGATAGATGGTATTTTTTTTAATGTCTAGAGGCTGGGGAGAGGGTTCAAACATTAAAATGCCTGCTGCACTAGCATGAGGGCCAGAGTTTAGACCCCCAGAACCCACTTAAATGCTGGGTGGGCATACAGGCCCAATTGTAATCCCAGCCTGAGAAGGTGGAGGTACAGGATCCTCAGAGCAAGCTGGCTAGCCAGAGGAGCCATATCAGTGAGCTCTAGGTTTGATTGAGAAACCTGACTCAATGACTAAGGTGGACGAGCAATTGAGGATGATTCCTGACATTCACCTCAGACTTCTATGTGCACAAACATACATGTGCAAAAAAACCCAAAAAAACCCCACATATAAAATACCCACATGCACAATACTCCTTTCTCATTCTCTCTCTCTCTCTCTCTCTCTCTCTCTCTCTCTCTCTCAGCACAATACTCCTTTCTCATTCTCTCTCTCTCTCTCTCTCTCTCTCTCTCTCTCTTTCTCGAGAGAAAAAATGCCTAGCAAGAGCCCCAGTATACAGCAGGTATTCAGTATATGCGACTAATTTTATTTCCCTGTTCCAAAATAGGTAAGGAGTCTGCCTAAGATGCTGCTAGATAAGCAAGGTCTTCAGGAGACAAGTAATATCGTTCAGTTTTTTCATACAACCTGCAGGGGCAATTAGAAAAAAAAACAACTATTTTGTAGGGGAGGAAACTGAGGCACTGAGATGCTAACTCATAAAACACAAAGGAAAACAGTGTTCACCACACTTGAGACTATCTTGTTGGGAAATGACCAGCTACTCTGCATCCCTTCAGGGAGGAACTGGAATACAAATGAACTGGTCCTTCCTGTGTACTAAGTTCTGTCAGCTAACAGGGGCTGGGCCCTTGCTTTAAAAGCTACCTTTCCTTTGACGTCAATGGCACTTTATCTCTGTCAAGTGGGAGGGAAGAGATGGAGGGAAAACAAAGCCTGACAATATTTTAGACTGTATTTGAAACCCTGAACACAAAACTACCCAAAGATATTTTAACACACATCCAAGAGCCTCACCCAGGCCCACACTCCAAAATAGCTTTATGATTTAAGGAAGGAAAAGCCAGACATCACCACCACCCTGCGACTGACTCACACATATGTTGGAGGCAGAGTTCACAAATCTAATTCCTTTCCTTATTTCTGGACATTTTTACCCAGAGAACACAAGTGACCGGGGGCGGTGCTGCCCGCTCAGCCGATTCCTGACAGCGGCTCCTGGTGAAGCAGATTGTGTTGGGGGGCAAGCATTTATCCAGGAGCAGTGCTGAAATGAGATGGTGAGGACGCAGGCGGCGAATAAATGACCGGTGCAGGGAGAGCTGGAGAAATGAGGGTGATTATGCAGGCACCGTCCTCGTCCTCTATGAATACATTAGCTCCCCTTCAGCCTGTGCATTCTCACTGCCTCCAAAGCAATTGCTTAGAGCTTCAGTGAATACAGGTGTCTGGAAGTGTTTTCTAAGCTCAGGTTCAGACAGGCTGGACTAAAGCCAGTCCTCAAAGCCCCATATTAAGTCTGGGGGTGAATTGGGCCATAGCACATATGGATCCTTCTGTGTTATGGGATGCTTACTGTAGGCACCTAGTTTCCTCTGCTCGGTTATGGCAAGGGCTGTTTGCTCTGTGGAGTGGGAAGTGGAAGGAGGCTAAAGGTGAGAGGAGTGTGGGGGTCTTGGCTGGGAACTGAAGGTCCTGACCTAGAGTAACCAGATGCAAGTACTATGGCCAAAGGATCACGGGTGGACTAGTAGAAACCAGGCTAGGCTGCTTGAGGTATAAAGAGGCTAGTGTGGGGAGCAATCTGACAAAAGCCTCCAACACTTGGAGGTATAAGGTCCCCTCTAAGGGAGATGGGCTGGTGAAGATCACCAAGGGGAGGACAGTTGGACCGACATAGGAGTACGCCTGTGGGTCTGGCCAGCACTAGGTAGGGTCTGAAAGCAGCATAGAATGAGAGGGCAGGTTTCTGTTTGTATCCCACAAATTTGTTTATTTCCTGTTAGAGATCTTGTAGCCATCTTTGGGAATGTTCTACAGGACACTATGAAGAAGACAGAGTATCTACGGGAAGTGATTTTGAGGGACTCTCTTATCCAACCACCCCTGGATGCCTGCTGTCGCTCATCCCAACAGGCTTGTTTAGTCTTAACAAAAAAGCTGAGTTGGGAGCTCGGGTCTCCCATGTGTCACCTCCAGGCTAGCAAGCTTGGAAGTTCTCTATGATAATTCCTGAGGTTCTATTCTGAGTCTCCCTGTCCCTGACCCCAGCCACACACATGCACCAGTGCTAGGGTCTGGATATTTGGAGTCAGTGTGTGGCCCTCAACTTTGAGCCCCTTTTCTACTGAACAGAAGATTCATCAACACTATACCCCTAGACTCACTCACCCTTGTGGGTGCTGAGCTCAACCCAAGGTCTGAAACCCCACTCACCCTGATCCCGAGCTCCACATTCTCGCCTCCATAGACCTCCATGCCTTCATCCAGCAGGCCGATCTCCTGGAAGTACTGCCGGTCCACAATGAAGCAGCCGATGAGAGCAGGGCTCCTATAGGGTGGGAGAGGGCCAGCTGTGAGCGGAGGCTAGGCTGAGAGTCACCCGAGGAGGAAGAACCTGGCCCAGTGGGGCCTGTTCTTAGGGTGGTCTAGAGGTGCACCCTCACCCAGCCCCTCCAAGGAAGCTGTTCAAGGCATGGGGCAGATGGCTCCTGTTCTGAGGCCAATCATTGTTCCCTGCCACGCTTGTCAGCGAGGTAGCCCAGTGACGTGCCATTTACCACATATATGTAGACTGCTTGTTTGTACCTCTAGCTGGCCTGACTCTGAACTTTGAGCCACATAACCAGAGACTGCTTTTGCCTGGACAATAGGTCCAACTTTCCCTTGATTCCTAATGGAGGCTCTTGAGCATGTCAGCCTTGGCTCACTAAGATGAGTGGGAACCAGGTTGTAGAGGACTTTGGGTAGCACAGTAAATAATTTATAGATTTTATCTGTAGGTACAGGGATATCTCTAAAGAATTTTAAGTAGAACAGTGGTATGAATGGGTATGTTTTAAAAAGAATTCTAAGGCTGGCTGGGACATAGTAGACTGTTGCCTAGCATGTATGAAGCTCGGGGCTCAATTTCCAGCATCACAGAAACCAGGCATGGTGACTTACACCTCTAATCCTAGCACTGTGATATGGAGAGAGGAAAATAAAAAATTTAAGGTCATTGTTAGTTATATAACAGTGCGTCCCAGATCAGCCTGGGCTACATGAGAGACTTTTGGTTCATTGAAAGGAAAATAAAAAGCATACTCAGATAGCTGTGGGGTGACTGACTGGAGGAGATGGGGGGTGGGGTGGGGAAACTTCTGGGAAATTGGCATCTGTAGCCAGGTAAAAGATGATAAAGATTTGGCAGAATTTGGAAAGAGATAAAGTACAAGGGGCAGAGGGAGGAACCTGGTTGCCAGTGGACTTCCTGATCTGCCTGCTGGAGGGCCAGAGGAACTCAGCAATGTAAGGTGTGGGGCACACAGGGAAAATGCTGTTTCTGGGAAGCTCCTTTATGTATTTATCATTCTTGTATGGTTCTGGAGATCAAACCCAGGGCCTTGAGCTTACTAAACAAACACTTAACCACTGAGCCACATCTCCAGACAGCGGCCCTGCCTTCAGAAGAGCTTGGCATTTGGTGCTGAGAAACTAACCTCCTCTATTTGTGGGACACCATCAGGAGAGTGCAGGCAGGGCTTAAGGCAGACACCTGGACCCAGGTTCAGCTATGGTCTCACGCTGGAGCAGCACTGCAGTGGAAAGGGGCTGTGCACTGGGCTTACTAGCTCCCCTGCTCAAGGCTTCACACAGAATGGCTCCCAGCGGGGGTTGGGGATCAGCAGGATGGCAGGGGCTGCTGCTCTGCGGGGAACAAATGCTGCATTATCCTGCACTCTGCTCCTCTTTCTAGCCCTAGCCTGTTAGGCCATGAGCCCAGGCTGGGGGATTTGGTGGAGAGAAATGAAGGGCTCTTAGGGGTGAGCAAACTGTCAGTCAGCTACATGCAAACAGACCTGTCCTTGGGAGGATACTGGTCCAGGCCTTAGAGATGAGCCCTATGGGGATGACTGCTCTCTGCTCTCTGGCTGGGTGTCTCTGAGAGCTCCATAACCTCTCTGAGCCACTAAATCCGAAACACAAACCATGGATACCTACAACATCAGATCAGTGCTAACCTCCGGAGGACTCCTAAACATGATAAAGTGCTTGAAAGCTCTGGACATAGCCAGCTCTCAGAAGATCACAGAAAGATCAGCTCAGAGGATTTCCTTCCTAAATACAGGATGGTTGAAAACATTTGTCAGGCATAGTGTGATCTCAGCCTTTTCCTTTGTGCTTCTGAGTACTGGGTGTGATTGGGGCCTCGTAGAGCACGTGGGAAGGGATCATCCTCCAGCTTCCACATGCAGATAGGGAGGGCACAGAACCCAGGACAGTGGCTCCAATGAGCACAGATATATCAGTTGGTCTGTCATTTACTAACTAGCTAGGGCATAAAGCTGTGTTATGATAAACACCCTCCATCCTCAAAGGATTAGACACAGCTTATAAGGAAACATAAAATACACTGGAAAACATAACTATTGTCTAGAAAGATCTAAAGATTACAACAGCCTGGGGGCCAGTTAGAAGGCAAATACAGACTAAGGCTCTCTAGCATAGTTCTTTAAAAAAAGATTTTATTTATGTGAATTTGTGCATGTGTGTGTGTGTGTGTGTTTGCCATGCGAGTGCAGTTCCCAGAGAGACCAGACGAGGGCGTCAAATTCCTTGGAGCTGGAGTACCAAGTGACTGTGAGCTGCCCTATGTGGGTGCTGGGAAGAAAACTCTGGTCCTCTGGAACAGTAGCAAGTGCTCTTAACTACTGAGCCATTTCTCCAACCATCCATCATGGTTCTTAAACTGGGTCCAAAGGTGTGGCTCTGAACTTCTTGTTGGGCAAGGTGAAAGGGAACATATACATTCTTAGAAATAAAATTTATAATTCTCAGGAGGAAATGCCATCCTGATTGATTTCTTGTGGGTAGCAAGCTTTCTTTGACTAGTATTTGACTTGAGAGAAATTTCTCATGTGGATCTTCTTAAAGGGGTCAGCTGGAGATCTTGGGGACCCAGTGAACAACCACCTTTAAAAAGGTTATCTCAGGCTGGGCATGTTGGCACACACCTTTAATCTCAGCACTTGGGAGGCAGAGGCAAGTGGATCTCTGTGAGTTCAAGGCCAGCCTGGTCTACCTAGTGAGTTCCAAGACAGCTGGGGCTACAGGGAGACCCTGTCTCAAAAAGACCCCCCCCCTCAAAAAGTTATTTCATGATACAGCAGAAGTAACTGGTGGGTTTGGTTTATAGTGCACACGTGGGCAGGACACTGAAACACAGCTCCACACATGAGGGAGCTGGAATGCTTAAGATGTATTTGTGTAAATCACAGTCTCAACAGGCATATTCTCCATCTAGGAATAAACCAGAAATGATCCAAAGAGATTCCAAAATAGAACTCCTCTCACCCAAATTCCTGATAAAAATTGAGCAACGATGTGAAAATAGTGGCTGAGATGATGTCTGCTGGCAAAGATCTAAAGAGTTCCTTTGTCTATTAGGACTAGTCTGACACATCCAGTGAGGAACAGAACAGAGACAGTCAAACAACACTGTCTTCTGCAAGTATGCCCATGGCATGGCAGCACATTTCCCTCAGACTGAGGCAGATATGGGCCACACCAGTTTGAACTCGACAGTTGTCAAGCTGGGGTGGCAACATGCCACAGAGCCTAGCTCTCAGTCTTGTGTTCATCTTGTTAAACACAGATGGCATAATTGGTTGACATCAGGTTATAATAAGGATCTAATAGTCCGTGTATGTAAAAGACCCTAGCATAGAGCAGACTTCCTACAAACTAATAGCACACAATTACATAGGCAACTGCTGTGGTTTGAGCATATCCCCTCCCAGAGTTCGTGTGCTGGAAGCTGGTCTCCAGCGCTGCAGTATGGAGAGGTGGTGGATCTTGAAGAGGTGGAGCCTGGTGGACGCTGAGTGGGTCATGGGAGCACCACACTCAGAAGGGATTAATGCAGTTCTGATTAATGAGTTCTCAGACCAGTTGTTGACAGACGCATCCACTCTTTTGATATTGTGGAATGGCCCTACCATCTACAACTGTGTGTGGCTACATTCAATGCTACCTGAGACACATGCAGCCCAGGGCCACCAGTTAGGCCCCCTCATAAATCGAACCTCTCTGTGTGGCTTTTTCATTTCTACTCCTGCCATGTGATGTCATCTGCCTTAAAGGCCTTCACCAGATGCTGGCCAGGTGGGGTTCTCCAATCTCAGACCTTCAACCTCCAGTACTGTGTGAGCTAAATAAACCTCATTTTTTCACAAATTACCTATCCTTGGGTATTTTGTTATAGCAACATAAGACAGACTAAGAAAGTAGTGTAAGTAACCACAGGAAAGTTATTTGATTTCTCTTCCATTTTATTTTCTATATGAATATATATTTTTTTCTTCTAGCTATAAAAATCGTGATCTTGACTCTTTCAATTAAAATTTTCACAATCTTTCTCTCTCTTGCAAGTCAAAGCAAGATTGGGTTCTAATCTCTCTTTGTTCTGAGTTGACCCCCTACATCTACCCTGCCATCAACAGACAGAAACAAGGCTGGTCTACTGCAGACATCCAGAATTGGCAGAGGGGAGTCATTCAGGAGTCTTGGAAGACAGCATCAAAGGCAGGAGGACTTTGGGGTCTTTCAAATACAGTTGGACGCCAATATTTGCCTAAGTGCTACATGATAAAACTCAAAAACTACCCTGCTGACCCCATTCCTGGGGCTGCCCAGATCACGTTCCTCCATCCAGTCCCTTTGAACCTCTGTGACCATGAGCTTCACCTATGAATGTCCATTCTCAATCTAGTCATCTCCTATGGACCCTTAACAAGGAGTTCAAACACTATCTGTTGGCAAAGGATCTCCACTTCCCCTGCCTGCTACATGGTTTTCACATGTGTGGCAGAATAACCCGAATGATGTGGTCTGTCTACAATTGATTCCAGGAGGAATCAAGCACAGCACTTGAAACCTGATGGATATCCCATGGAGATGAGTGACTCTGGGGTTGGAGAGAATGCTCAGTGGTTAAGAAAGTTTGCTGCTTTTCTAGGGCACCTGAGCTCAGTTCCCAGCACCTATATTGGTGACTCACAACTGCCTGTACCTCCAGCTCCAAGGATCTACATGCTTATGTGCACACATACACAGACATACACATACACCACATACACATAAATCTCTCTCTCCCCCCCCTTCCTTCCTCCCTTTCTCCTTCCTTCCCTCCCCTTTCCTCCCCCCCTTCCCTCCCCTCCCCTCCCCTTCATAACTTTGAGGCTGTGCCTTAAGTTCTGGGTGCTCTGGTGGCTCTTTGAAGGGATCATGAGAGCTTTTGAGTGGGAACTGTAGATCAATCCCACTGCAAGTCTTTTCTACCCTCCCTTCCCTTTCTCTGGGGCTGGAGTCTAGAGACAAGGAGGAAAGCCGAGAGACCCACGGGGAAGGGTGATTACCTGATCGGGGCTGTGGAGTTCTCCAGCTTCCACCAGGCCTTGGGTGGATTTAGGTACCGGCACCACAGCTCCCAGTCGAAGCCTTGGGCGGCCAGCGGGTATTCTTCTATCTCAAAGTTGTCGTATTTGATGTTATCGAAAGATGGTGAGATGATCCGTTTCCTGTTCTCCTTTATACGCGTGAGGACAGGCTCAGCCCTGAGCAGGAGTGAGGAAGAGAGGGATGATCACTTCCAAGATGGAGATTAGCAGCTCCCCAAGGCAGGAGGAAAGAAACCCAACCCACCTCAGAAGCTCTGCCTCCCCAGGAGCTCGATCACTTCCAAGATGGAGATTAGCAGCTCCCCAAGGCCGTTTCCCACCAGCAGGAGGAAAGAAACCCAACCCACCTCAGAAGCTCTGCCTCCCCAGGAGCTCTGTCCCTTGCACTGAGGACGTGGGGGTTGGCAAGAAGCTCCTTTGTTGAGTTCAAAGCTGGTCTGAGGATGTCTCACCCAGCCTATGTGCCTTTCCCTTTCTTCACCCACACAACAAAAATCAAGACTTTACAAAAAGAGGGACATGAAGGAATAGATTTGAGGCTCCAGAGGAAACTTTCAGCCTGGGTTTTGATTTTGCTCATCTGGTGGAAGAGGCTGGTAGGGCCGGGCAAAGATGCTATCAGCTCTGCCTCAGGAGAGGTGGGGCATCCAGGCTTCCCCAGGGACTGGGAGGCCCCCTGGGCACTGGGAGAAAAATATGCTTGCAGACAGGAAGGATAAGCTTCTCATTAATAATACATTCAGTGCATAATTGTTTATTCAAATCAGCTTGAAATAGTAAGTGTCCCTTTCCTAGGCTGGCCATAAATCCTGAGGAAATGCTTTTTAAATAGTCACAAATGGCAAGCAGGGATTTCAAGGATAAAAAATGACTGTGCTGCAGCCTTCGTTTGGGTGTGTGATGCTGAGATCTAGCTCAGGCTGCCTGTAAGCCCCAACACTCCTTCCTGCTAGCGTGCCCTCTTCACCCTGCTCTCTAGAGGTAGAAACTGGCACCATGGAGCTGGGGGGGGGGGACAGATGCCAAGGCCACTAGGCACACTGGGAAAGAGGGCAGGAAACTCCTTGTCCCAGCTAGGTATGGTCACCCCCAGCATCTGTGCCCCCCTATGCCCAGGGGAAGCCTCATGCAGTGAGTGGTACCACCAGTATCAGGTGACCTATGAGGGTTCAGGAATAGCTACAGAGGCCTCCTGTCAGTTCCCTTACCCCATCCAGCACCTAGCAGACCTGACTCCACAAAGGAAGGCCTGCTAAAACCTTTCACTGGGATGGAGACCTGAAGCCAGGGGCCACTTCTGACCAGGTATTTGTGGGATCCAGGAAAATCTTGACAATATCAATCCACCTTTACCTATCTCTGCCCACCTGGTCTTGCCCTATCTGTTTGGTGGGGTCCCTGTGTCTTATCTGTTCTAAATCTGATGCCTCCAGGTGATGGAGCTGGCAGGACCCTTAGCTGGCAGGAACCCTATACTGTGCCCTTTGTATACACTCCTCTCCCTGGTTGCACTTTTCAAAGGCTGACACCAACTGGGGCCATACCTGGGGCCACCATACCCTTTAGGTGCTGACCCCTGATTCTCCTGGATTGCTCTTACATTTCAGCTGTCCCCACAATCCTTTCCCTTCCCACCCACCCATGACCAAGATCCCAGCATCCAGTTGGCTTAACCCTGTTACAAGGGTCACTCATACAACCCATATCTCAGCTGTCCCTGGAATACTTTACCTATCTTCCAGCCTATGATTAAGATTCTAGCATGCATAGCACTTTTGAGCCAAAGCCCCCTGGATCACACTAAGATTCCCCTCCTGTCTCCCAGGCACTCACCAGCCCACATTGAATTCCACATGGGCATCAAACAGTGCTACCACAGGGGCTGTGGCCGCCCTCCAGCCACTGACCCTGGAGCGGATGAGGCCTTCCTGCTTGCTGTGACGCACAACTTTGATGAAGCCTGGCTTCTGGCCATTCACCTTGTCCACGTATTCTGTCAGCTTTTCCTTGAGTTCCTCTGTTGGCAAAAAAACGTCTTTTAGCAGAATGGGGGCAGGGGTTACCCAAATAGTCACAGTCCTAGGCTGAAATGAGCATCCAAGGAGGGGAGTGGGCCCACCACTCTCAGGTTTTCACAGGACCCCCATGGTGGTCAGCACAGCTCAGCTCTGAGGGAAAACAGAAGGGAAGATAGTATTACTAAGCCCCAGCAACATGCATGGGTCACAGAACTCACACACGTTGTGTGGTTCATTGTCATAGGAACCAATGGGAAGCTGGGGGCTCCGGAGAACTTATCAATGCTCTATAGCATATAAGAGCTAGAGTGGTTTCCATCAGTCTGTGGATGTGACCAGGCTGGGTTGTTATCATATTTCAAACTTATTTGAAATATGATACGAAATGCCCTCCACAGGCACCTGTGTTTGAACACTTGGTCCCCAGCTGGTAGCACTGTTCTGGGGACTATTAAGAGTGGACTATTTGGGGATCCCAGGAAACCCATAACAACATCAAGCTGCCTTTGCCTACCTTTGCCCAGTTGGTCTATCCTGTCTGTGAAGAGTGACGTCTGTCTCTTCATCTGCTCCAACTCTGTTGCCTCCAGGCATGGAGCCCTGTCCTTAGCTGGCAGCAACTCTCTACTTTACCCTTGTATACACCCTTTTCCCTGGTCATACTTCCCAGAGGATGACAGCAGCTAGGGCCACACGTGGGGCTACTGCACCCTTCAGGTACTGACCCCTAGGCTCTGCAGGTGGCCCAGCCCTATTGCAAAGGACACTTACACATCTCAGCTGTTCCCACAATCCTCTCTGTTCCCTCCAGCCCATAAATAAGATCCCCGCATGCATTGTACTTCTGAGCCAAAACCCCTGGATTGCACAAACCCCCTGGATGACACTGAGGTTCCTCCTATCTCTAGGACACATACCAGCCCACACTGAATTCCACCTGGAGGTTACAGAAACTTTAGGAGGTGAGACCCTAGCTGCCCATTCGGGTTCCAGCCTCTGTGCTTCCTGACTGCTAATGGGATGTAATGAGCCATCTGACACCACCCCTGTGACGTCCCTGCCCTAATGGACTGTATCCCCTCAAGCCCTAAGCCAAAATAAACTTCTCTTCCCTTAAATTGTTGCTTATCAGGTATTTTGTCAAAGCAGTGAGAATAATAACTAATAAACTGGGCTTCTTCTTGTCCGCTCAGCTGCCTGGTCCTCCCAGGGCTCCTCATTGGTCCTCCAACCTCCCAGAGGAGCCCCAGTAGCCAAGACCTCAGCTGGACTTGCTGTGTCCAAGTCATCTCTCTGGGAGGTAGATGGCAGGCACTGTGCTGGAGCAGGGGCCAGTGGGCGGCTGCCTGCTGTCACTGGACCTGGCTTGGCATGAGATGTTGCTTCTCTGACACCATGGTGAGACTCCTCAGCCCAAGAGGTATGATTATGATTTCACATTATGATTATGATTCATTACGATTCCACAGCAGGGTAGGCCACAGCTGGGACACTTCATAGTAGGTTGAACAGGATACATTTTGAGCCAATTACCCATCTCCAAGTACAGATCTGATAAGGGATGGGGGAAGAACACGGGCACTACTATATTCCTTGAGGTAGAAAGGAATTTGCATGTACAGTGTTAATACCTTAGCTCAAACATACCTCTAATGGCTTGCTTGTTCTGTATCAACTCTCCAGTCCAGGCAGTGGCTGGAGAAATACAGGGCCCATATCAGCAGATACTAACTAGACCCTGTTTCTAAGGCACTGATGGAAGCAGACTATGGGGTGGCCCCCAGGTACTCCATCTCCCCACATGGAGTTCCCACTTCCTTCGTCCACCTTAAGGGACCTGAAGCTTTTGCCTTCTCTCTCTGACTGCCCTATGCAGGCAAACTGGAGCAGCCTCCCCAAGGCTGAGAGGTCCATACAGGGGAGCAAAACCATCCAGCTCCTCCAGCTCCAGTGGAGTCATGAGCTGTTGCAAATGCCTGAGGGGTCCAGTTGAATCCATCACCCCACATTGAGCGGACACAAGTGATAAGCTGTCCAGAGACCCAAGCCCTGACTGCAGGATTCTGCATCATCAGCCTTTGCTTTTTCAGTCACTGACTTCTGGGGTGGGTCGATACACGCTGCAGTGTCTACTGTTCTAACCTGGTGAGGGCTGGATTAAGACTGGCACGCAGGAAATGATATCAGACACAGAAGAGGTATTTGAGATGAGCACAGCAAGTAGGACAGGTCTGCATTCCTGGAAATGCTGTCTTCTCTGTACCCCTGGCCTCTGTTACCAGGGAAGGAGAAAAAGCCTGCTGGTGAGCAAGTCTGCCCATAATCAGCTATAGTTCAAATATGTGCTGGGATTCAGAAGGCTTCCTCAGCTTAGCGAGAAACTGTTAACAGGAAGAGAGGAAGAAGGGAAGGAATGAAGAGAAGAAAAGAAGAAAGGAAGGGCGTGGAAGGGAAGGGGAGAAGAGAGGTTGACCTACTTAAAATGCCCTGGATGATACTGTTCCAGCCTTTGCGAGGTATCTTTGCCTAATCCAATTTTCATGTTTTTCTTCAACTTTATCAATTGCCAAATAAGCAAGAAGAATCTCAGATACTTCCAGGGTTCCATAAAAACTGTTTTCTAACATGTTGCCTGTGGTGTATATATAAATATATGTATATATCCTGCTAAATATTTCATATATTTAAAGTACTTCTCAGAACTAGCTACAAAATAGAAAAATGGTCTCTTCCTCAGACCTAAATGCAACCACATGACTGATCATATCTGCCTTTTGCTCAGGCTGTTAGGAAGCTCAGGGACAAATAGGAATATTTGTCCAGAGTTGGAGCAGTATTTTTAGTTCTCAACTATCCTAAAACTTTGATTTTCAAGTTATGATTTAAAAACTGTGTTTTTAAAAAATTTTTACTTTTTTCTCCTATGTCAGTTATAGGAAAAAGGAACCCAGGATCTCACACATGCTAGGTAAGCAAGCACCCTATCACTGAGCTATAGCCCCACACTCATACGTGTGTGTGTGTGTGTGTGTGTACATGTGTGTGAATACTTAATTTTGAGACAGGGGTTCACTAAGTTACTCAGGGTGGTTTTGAACTGCTGATCCCCCTGCCTCAGTCTCTGTGTAGTTGGAATTTATAGGCCTGAACCACCAGACCTGGCTGGAAAAAAAAAAAAAAGATTTTTAAAAAACACTATAAATAATGCTTAACAAAATGCCATAGTAGGGCAGGACAGAGGTGAAACTGGATAGAAAAGGTTAGCTCAATTTTGTGCTTAATGCTGTATGGCTGCAAAGCCAGGAGGCAGGGGGTCTGCTCCTTGTGACTTTGTCAGGCTGAGAGTGAATGAAGAGTTGTCCACAGCCAGTGTTGACAGAGAAACACGATTTGCACCCTGCATGGGGCCAAGCATCCTCCTGTGTGGCGCCTTTAAGCCCTCATCTGCTGCTTACAAATCCCTGCTCTGCTGTCTTCTCAGAGACTTCTATAAACCAGGGCTCCCAAAGCTGTCTTGATGATATCCCAAGAGGACACAGACCACTCTCCATGGCCCCAAGTAGAGCATCCCTGCAGGGCTAGCTAAATGCTGCTCACATTCCTTCACACTGAGATGCCAAGAAGTGGGGAGTCCTACCGCCTGGCCCCATGGAGCTCCTCCCCTCCCTGCATCTCTGCCCCTTGCAGTATCTCTGGTACCACTAGCCAGCAGAAAGTGACAGCTCAAAGGCTGGGTTGGGGAGGGAGTCACACCTGCAACTGTTAATCTGGTTTAAACACTCAACCAACTGACACCATGTTCTCTAGTGTGAGGGAAACCCAAAGATTAGGAAGTTGGTTCCCATGTGGCTCTGCTGTTTGGAAGGCAGATGAACAGACATTTTGCAGATGAACTTGCCTAGGCCTGCCCATGGAAAAGCAGACCAGGTCTTTGGATGCTCAGAGGTGCTCAGGGGATTACTGCCCATGTGTACTCCAGGTTTGGAGAAGCAGGGCCAAAGGGAGAGGCTTCCAATGCACCTGCCCATTCTTTATTCAGTGAATACTATGCATGTCCTGTGTGCTGGGTGCTGATCTGGCCGCTGTGGCTGGAGGTGTGAGTCAGACAATTAGCAATGGACTGAAATGTTCATGCCCCTCCTCAATTCATGCTGAGATCCTAACTCTGAATCAGAAGGTGGAGCCTGGGGGAGGTTTTCAAGTCACAGGGGTACAGCCATGTCTAATCCTTTCCGAGCAGCTCTAACAGAATACACAGATTGGGTCATATTTATAAAGCATAGAGATTCACTCCCTCAAGGTTATGGGGTCTGCAGAGTCCAAGACCACAGTACCAGCATCTGGTGTCTGGCAGGCGGGAAACTTGCTGCTGTTCTTTAATGGCACAACACAAAGGGAGAGCTGGTGGAATGTTTTTGAAGCTGTTCTGATAAGAGCTTTAGTCTCATTCACAAGAATGGAGCTTGCATGCCTAATTATCCCTGTCTTTAAAAACAAGTTATTTATTTGTATGTCTTTCTGTGTGTATAAATGTGTATGTGCATACAGGTGCCCATGGAGTCCAAAAGAAGGCATTAGATTCCCTGGATTTTGAGTTATAGGCCGTTGTGAGTACCCAACATGGGTGGTAGGAACTGAACTCAGGTCCTTTGGAAGAACAGCAAGTACTCTTAACCACTAAGCCAACTCTCCAGCCCCTTAATCATCTCTTAAAGGCACTGTTTCTTATCACGTTGGCAGCGCCTCATTTTGAAGAGACGTGGTAGCACCACTCAGCCCTTGTGAAAAGGGTTGCTGCCCTTCTTCAAGAATCTCAGAGTACTTGCTTGCCGTTTCTCTGCCATGGGAGGAGGCAACAAGGGGGACCCCTGGGTTTGGAAACTGAAGAGATGGCTTAGTTGGTAAAGTACTTACCTTGCAATCATGAGGATCTGAATTCAATCCCTAGGACCCACATAAAAAGGCTGGTATGATGCTGTGTGCTTTAGCCCCAGCACTG